GGAAATGCCAAGGCCAGGGGAGTGACTTCACTGGGCCCTGAGCTAAGGGGCATGCATCCTCCTCATTTTGGCTGTCCCCCCGAAGGACATTACTCAGCCAGCCCTCAGCTCCACCCACCCTCAGAGCTTTGCTCAAGGAAGGGACAGCTCATGGAGTCACCATTCCTGCCCRCCTTGGTCTTTTTTTTCCACCACTCATGGAATCTTTCGACAGGCACCTGCCCCCTCACCCCTGTCCCTGCACCTGTGTCCCCAGGGAGGCTGCCTGGGCTCTCCCTCAGACCTCCTCAGATAGAAGTTGGGGAACAGCCACAGTGACGTACACTCTGACCTTTGGGCCCTGAGTAGGGTGAGGACAAAGGCACCAGCAGCCCTCTCGTCCTTCCTCCCTGAAGCTGAGGGCCAACCCCCAGCCCTCCCTCTGCAGAGCCAGCTCACAGGAATCCTTGGGATACCGCTGCAGGAAGCCCAGGAGAAGGCTCTCCCAGCCCGTCATCTGAACCTGCTGGGGCCAGAGCTGGGGTCTGAGACGCCTCCGGTGGTCCCCACCTGCACACTCGTGGCTGGCTTTCCCCTCCAGGCCAATCTTCTTCACTCCTTTGTCAAAGCTCCAGGCTTCACCAGAGGGCCTGGTGGACTTAGTGGGCTAATTACATCTCTCTGAGGAGCCAGTGGGCAGAGACGGATTCTCCTGGGGAGAGGGCACTGACTTCTGGGCAGGGCAGCAGGACCAAGAGTGGCCCCAGGATCCGCAGCCTTGCCTAGTGCTAGGACCTGGAGTAAGGGGGCAGGGGAGGGGCAGGGCATGTCATGGTTGGCCCTGGAGGGGCTCACATGGACCCCCAGCCTCTGCCTAGAGAAGTGGTCCCCAAGCTGTGCCTGTGGGTCTAAGCAGAGGCCGGAATCAAAGCCGGCCCGGAGCTTCCTTGTCTGCAGCATCCCCAGGGCACTGCCCCTCCTGCTCCCCCACACCCCCACCCTTCCCTGAATCCTGGTCCCAATCCCAGGAAGCCGGCAGTGCTGGCACTGGGCACAGGCCACTGACTCATCAACGCGTCGACAGCCTCCTTGACYGCACTCACACTGACCACATGTGTTCCTCTTCACGCCTGCTCAATTCTCTGGCCAGTGGGCCCTGCTCCAGCTGYGGGGGAATGACTGTGTGGCCCTGGCTAGGACTGTTGCACCACAGGTCCCAGTTGCTCAGGATGCTCATCACAGAATGCCTCCACGAGGTGTTGGACACTGTGGTCCAACTGGCACCTCCTAGCTGCCCTTCCCACACTACTCTTGGAGCCAGGGCGAACTTTGTTTTTTTTTTTTTTTTTTTTTTTTGGTACTGAGGATTGAATCCAGGGGCACTTTACCACTGAGCCATATCTCCAGCCATTATTATTATTATTATTAGAGATAGGGTCTCAATAAGTTGCTTAGGGCCTAAGTTACCAAGGCTGGTCTCAAATTTGTGGTCCTCCTGCCTCAGCCTCCTGAGTTGCAGAGATTACTGGCAAGTACCATCCTGCCCCACCAGGGTGAACTTTTCCAAAAAGCAAGCATGGCCATATGTCCCCTGCTTATCGCCCTTTGGTGCTCCCTGTGGCCCTGGCATAGAGGCCTTGCTTTGCAGCCTGTATTCAGATGGTGGGGATGTGATCCACCTCTTCCCCACTTTTCCTCTGCTCTGTCTACCCAGAAGACTCACAAGAGCCTAAAAAGGTTCTGCCTTGCCCACACTTAGTCCATACTGTATTCACTCCCAGAAGGCTTTGTCCCTGTTCCYGGTCTGCCTTCTACATCCTTAAAGGATCTAGGCCCTCTCTGACCTTCTAAGAAGGCATTATGTTTCCCACCACCTCTTCAAAGTGTGGGGGACCAGTCCTAGGTAGGTGGGGACCCTGCATCACGGCAGTTTTAGGAGCTGAGCAGGCTTTGCTACAGTCTGCAGGATCCCGGCAAACCACCAGGCCAGCTCTTGGTGGCCTGGGTGTGAAGTGACAAGGACGAGGTTAAGGGATGTTGTGAGGCATGATGGCTGAGTGACCAGAGGACCTGAACATCCTGTAGGTTCCAAATGCTCCCCCTCAAGAAAAGCATGTGTCTGACCCCCCTCACTCTCTGTGGTCCTGACTGACGCTTCCCTCTTCACCCACCCCTCCCCTGGTCAATGTCACTAASTAGGAAACTCCTAGATGCCTCAGTCTGGAAAGCAGACCTCCTCCATGCCCACCTAAGATGTTCCCCAAACCTCCCCATCCTTCCCCTGCCCCTTGTTCAAGAGGAGAAGGAGGCCCAGGCCAAATGCGGAGGGAGAAGTCCCTGGCTCCTCGTGGACTAAAGCTCTGGCTTGGCCGTGGGAGGGTCGCTGAGAAATAAGGGTGACAAAAGCAGCCCAGGGGTCCCCAAGGCCCAAAAGAGAGACCACCTAAATGTCTAGGGAGTGGGAAAGAAGGGAGGAAAGAACAAAGAACAGTGGTGTCATCATAATAGGAGTTGGTTCTCTGGAGTCAGCCTGGCCGGGGTCAGCTCCTGACCTTGGCCCTGGGTAAGAACTTTCTGGGTCCAGTCTCTTTGTCTGTTAAGTGGGCTAACAATGGAATCCCCGAAGTGCTCATCCCAGAACCAGGCAGAGGAAAGAGCTCAGTGAATGGCGCACCTCCTACTTGGCCTAGAAGACTCTGGGCAGATCCCTGCCCTGCTGTAGACTGCAGCCATCCAAGCTGTACAACAAGGATGAGTCCTCATACCCCACAAGGCTGTGTGGCAGGAATCAGTGTGTTCATAGGTAGAGTGTCCCCATGGTGCCCCCACTGAGCCTCCATGCCCAGGCACATGTCCAGCCTCACTCCTGACCAGAGCCAAAGAGGAGAGAAAGGCCACCATGGCCCAGTGGCTCATCCCCTTGGGACTGCTCCCCACTGCCCAGATACCTAGGCTTCTAGCTCTTGACCCTCAGCCTCCTACCCAGCCCTCCCATGACTCCCCACGACTCGTGTCCCCAGAGGCTGGCCCCTTGCTCCCCTGCACACCTGCCCTGCTTTTACTTGCCCTGCCTGATGAGGCTGGTGCCATGGGGCAGTGTGGCACTGCCAAGGTCGTGATGACTCCATGTCCATGTCTTCTGGTCTTACTTGCAAAGGCCAAAGTGTTCCATGACAATTTAGGTTCCTCTGTAAGCAAGGTGTGGTGGTGCACGCCTGTAACCCCAGCAACTCAGGAGGCCGAGGCAGGAGGATTGCAAGCTCAAGGCCAGCCTGGCCAGCTTAGTCAGACCCTATCTCAAAATGGGGGGAAAAAAATGAGGGCTGGGTATATAGCTCAGTGGTCGAGTACTCCTGGGTTTAATCACTAGTACTGAGAAAGAAAGAAAAAAAAGAAAAATAAGCATCATCTAGGGTCCCAGAGGAGACTCTTTAGCCTGGGCTGTGTGTCACTCCCCCTCCCCCCTCCCCAGCTCCCATGATCCTCACTACAGAGGATGGGCTCAGGATGAGCACAGGGCTTAACCTCTGCCCTATGTCTGAGGCTCAGATTGTCCACATCCAGCTGGGAAACCTCTGTAAAACGGTTACTATCCCCACCCTCAGGATGGATGCAGTGGTTCTGTCCCAAAAGCACAGGGCCCTGCCTGGATAGGGAAGGCATCTCTGTCACCCTTCCGGGGACCGTCAAGAAGCTTGAGCCCCTGCGTTCAGAACCAGCTGGCACTCCGCTGCCCAGCCTGCCTTCTAAAAGAACTGGATAGAGCCAGGCAGCAGGGGACACAGTGCCCAGATGGAGGTCACAGGGTAAGGACAACACTGGGAACTCTTGCCCAACAGGCAGAGCCAAGAACATGATCTCTTCATGACATGCTCAGGTTCCCTGGGCTTCTGGCCAGGGTACATCCAGCCCGCCTCCACCTCRGGCCCAGCAGGCTTTGGGAAAAGAGGACAGAGGACCGGCCGCAGCAGACCCTGCCCTCATCCCTGGTGGGAGGTGTTAGGAGCCGGGGAGGGGAGGGGGATCACTTTGGAACTCCCCCATGGCTTACCCACTGGGCTCTGTCAAGCCCTGGATGGGACTGGGGGAGGGAGCAGGATCCATCCTGACCCGTGGAGTATCCAAACCTTCTGGTCAAATTCTCTGAAGGCAGAACCCAACCAGCTCATTGGCCGTGCCCTGCCCAAGACAATGGGAAGGGTAGTTTCATGGGTGACCAGAGAGCAGATCTCACCTTCTCTCGTCCATGGCACTCAGGACATTTTTTAAGTCTTCTATTTTTAATGGACAAAACAATGTGTGGGGCTGTCCATGCCAGAACCGCCAGTTTGGGACTCTGCCACCTGGTCCCTCCCTGTCTCTCTAAAAGATCCCAGCATCCATGCTGGGAGGGAGTCTGGGTGGTAGGGCCCTCTCTGATGAATTCCTCTGAGGCGGGGCTCTACCCTTTGAAGGAGGAGTTTTTTCCTGAAGTCTCTTGAAGTCTCCTAAGGGGTGCATTTGGCTAGTGAGGGCCWGCAGGCTGACAGACAGGTGAGGGCTGGATCTGTGGCTTGGGACTTGCTGCCTCTCCAAGAGGAAACTCAGCCAATCAGGCTGGGACAATTAGGGGTTTACAAATGGCTTTCACACACCAGAGCACACCTACTCTCTCAGTTCACAGAGAGGAATTCTGTAATATTGAGAACATGATGGCCTCACCTCAAACCTGGAAGAAGGAGGACTAGAAGCCAGGTCTCTTCACCCCAAGTTCTCCATTCTGTGCACTTCAACAACCCGGCCCAGGCCTGCACAGTGCAGCCAGTGAAGGCGCCTGTCCATTTCACCAGGGCTCTTGAGGCTGCTTTTCCTCCAGGCTCCTATCCCACACCATCTTCCTCTCAAGGAGAGAGAGAGGAAGCGAAGCCTCTTGGCTGCCCTCTGGTCTCAATACCCAGGAGCCACCCTCAGCTGGCAGGGGCTATGGATCCACCCACCTGCTCAGTAGAGGCCAGCAGGGTGGAGCTAGGTTTGCCCCAGGCCTGAGGACCTTACACTGCTTTTCCTGACGCCCATCTGAGTTCTGTGCCTYGGAACTGAAGCCTGCTCACAGGCACAATCTTGCAAAGGCCCCGGCAAGAAGGAGAGACAGACGGCACTGAGGTAGGATGTATGCGGTATGCTGCGGGCAGCCCTGACCTCAAGAGGGCCGGAGGGCTGCCTGCTGCTGCTCCTTGCCTGGGACACTTCACTGTGGACAGAGAAAAGGCCTCAGCCAACTGYAGCCTCCTTACCCCGACTCCAGCCAGCTAACACGGGGCAGGAGGTCAGAGCACTGACCCTGGAGCTCCTCTGCTGAGTTCACACCCCAGCTCAGCCACTTGGCAGCTGTGTATGGCTGGGCAAATTCTGAACCTCTCCGTGCCTCAGTTTCCCCATCTGTAATGCAAGGGCAACAGTAGTACCTAGGGCATAGAATAATCAGAAGTGTATGAGTTCCTATGTGTAAAGTGCTTGGGACGGTGCCTGACACATTATAAGAGCTACATAAGTAATTGGCCTATTATTATCGTTATTATTATTTCCTGAATCAAGAAAAACTAGGGATATTAGAGCCGGCAAAGACCTCACAACCGGGGCTAGGCTGTAGCTCAGTGGTAGAGCGCCTGCCTAGCAAGTGTGAGGCACTGGGTTTGAGCTTCAGCACCACATAAAAATAAATAAAGGTATTGTGTCCATTTACAATTAAAAAAAAATAAACAAAAACCTCACAACCTTGAGAAGGGTCTGAGGAGAAGGAGGGGAAGCCCGTGGGGAAAGGGACCGTCAGTCTCCATGGGCAGGTGATCCATCAAGAGGTTATAAGAGGTCTTAAGTGCCATTAATAGAAGTTCCCTCTCTGGTCTGCAGAGCACAGGGAGTGGGAAATTTTACTATGGCCCAGTGAGAAATAGTACTACTGTGAATTCCATTTTTAGAACCCAGGAAGTTATTTTGAGAGGAGGTTGGGTGTTTTCAGTTTTTTTTTTAAATAGCCCCTGCATTTTAACAATTTGCTAGCCTGTGCCCTTCTAGGGGAATCCAGGGCACAGTGGGGAGCCTCGCCAGGCTTCCACAGTTGCTAGGCAACCCTTCCTACTCCACGGGGGTCCAGTGGAGAGCCCAGCACAGGCTCTGCCCACCAGGTCACAGGTGCCAGAGCTCATTAGACATGATGAGCCCATCTCAAAGGTGTCCAGAGAAAGCAATCTCGGTTTCTTTTCAGCCTGAACGGTGTGTAATGGGAGAAGTAATCTGCAAGGAGAGGCTTTTGTACAGTTACAGGCCTGCCTCACTTTCCCAAGCTATATTCACTTCCTGTGGCTACTGTGACAAATCCTGATGACTTGGGTGGCTTACAGAAACAAATTCATGGTTGTGGAGAAAAGACTTTCAAAGTCAACATCACTGGGACCAAATAAGACTGGTAGGGGACAATCTGCACCTTGAGTTTCTGGCTCCTGGTGGCTGCTGGCATCCTTTGGCTTGTGGCCACATCATTTTCCAATCAGTCTGTGGTCACATGGCCTTCTCTTCTGTGTCAGATTTCCCTCTGCCTCTCTCTGGTAAGGACACCCGGGATTGTATGAAGGTCCTACTGGGAGAATCCAAAAGTATCTGTCCATCTCAAGATTCTTAGCTTATATCTGCTGTGGCCTTTTTTCCACATAAGGTAATTTCACCAATACCCAGAGATTAGGAACTGATATCTTTGGGGGTCATAATTCAGCCTACAGTCCATGCTGCTGTCTTCCTTTAACAGAGCCTATCAGTGTCATCACTCAGCTGCCTGGCACCATACGCCAGGGTCAGGATGACTGAGCACATGGCCCTGCCCCTGAGCCCCACCTGTCCTGAGAGTCAGCTTTCCCAGACATACCAACTGGCCAGGCCTGAACTTCCTGGAGCAGTGGGGTATGTTATTGCACACTCCACCAGTCAGAGTCCTCAGGCTTCCAGTTACCATCACTAAAGGAAGTAGGGAGCTGTGGGCCAGAGGCCAGGACTCTCAGAACTCTTAAAAAAAACTTTGTTTTAAATTGACACTAAAAATTAAAAAAAAAAAAAGAAAGAAAGAAAGAGAAAATGCAAATCCTTTTTGCATTCTAGCCTCCAGAGATTTTGAAAAAGAGAGAGAGAACTTGTACAAAGTGACCTTTCCTTCTACATCTTTTTTCTATTCAGAAAGGACCATAGATTTTCGTTTTGAAAATAGAAGTAGGGTTGGGTGGGTGGCGCAGGTCTGTAATCCCAGCAGCTCTGGAGGCTGAGGCAGGAGGATTGCGAGTTCAAAACCACCCTCAGCAAAACTGAGGTGCTAAGCAACCCAGTGAGACCCTGTCTCTAAACAAAATAGGGCTGGGGATGTGGCTCAGTGGTCTAGTGCCCCTGAATTCAATCCCCAGTACACCCCCTCCCCCTAAAAAAAAACCTGGTGTGCTTGCAACCTCCTATAATCCCAATAATTCAGGAGGTTGATGCAGGAGGATCACAAATTTGAGGCCAGCCAACTCAGGGGGATCCTCAAAATAAAATTCTAAGAGAGCTGGGGATGTAGCTCACTAATAAAGTGCCATTTTGTTCTTCAAACTGTTATTTCTTAATAAATAAACTGTTTCTTTGTGATACCTGGTAGTACATAGGGATTYGCTACAGAGGCTCCCCCTCCTCCATCATGTGGATGGATGATGACTAATTACCCTGTTGATAAGCATCTGGGTTGCTTCTGATTTCTCAGCTGAAACAAATGTGGTGAGATAATTCAGTGAAAAACTAATATCTGGCTTTTTCACTTTGCTACAGGAGGCTCACAAAGTAGGGGAGGTATTTTTCTAGTACTCTGCACCATCCCAACCCCCAAAGCAAGCGTAGGGTGAAGGAAGTCAGGGCTTCCCTGGCTCCCAAGAAGAATTAACAAGACTTTGTTCTCTGAGGCAGAGCCTCACTGAGACAAGGAACCAGATTGTCTGCTGGGGGAGGGGCTCTGTATTTGTGGAGCGGCTTCTACTACAAGCATACAAATCTCTCTCTCCAACTAGCTGAGGCAGTAGACAGAATGTATTGCCTGCTGCATGACAACAGCCCACAAGCAGCACGAAATTCAGGTGTGATTTGATCTGAGGTTTACAGTATCAGCAGGCTTTACTTTTTTTTTTTTTTTATACTACATTTTTTCTGCAGCTCTCTTGGTTCAGTCTTGCTCTCTAGGTTAGTTTTGCCCTTAGATTCCTGTTCATCCTTGCAGTAAAAAGAGCTAAAGCACATCTATCCATGCCATCTAGAAAAAAAAAAAAAATCTCTGACCTAGGACTTATAACAAAACTTATAACAAAACTCCTGAGATCCATCATGACTGAACCAGTTTAGGTCATGTGCCTACTACTGAGCCATTTGCTGCAGGGGGTGAGGTGGGAGGGGCACGAAGGGGGGGGGATGCCGGCGGGGATGGAGTGCCCTGAAACACTTAGGTAAGTCAAGTCTCTCTCTAGGGTTGAGGTGGGATTTTTTCCAACAAAAATTAGGGATTCATGAAAGCCTAGAAGGATGGATGGGTTAGAGAGAAAGAAGTGGGTTTTCTGGATAATGCAAACTCCATGCTCCAGGAATTGTAGAATCCCCAGAGGCAGAGCCCAAACACAACKGTATGACTCCCCCCAAATGCACAGTGGACATCCTGATGTGATAGTAGATATCCTTATTTTAAAATAAATTCCTGGGTATAGAATTGCTGGGTCAAAGGGTTCGTACATTCCAAACGGTTATCCTCCAAAGGTTTCATTAGTTTCTCCTCCCTTTGCAAATRCATCTTGTTGATGCTAAATCTTTATCTTTTTAATGTTTGTCACCCTGATAAATCTGATCTGATTTTTTTTTAATTACAGGGAAGATAAACAACTTTTCATACACTTATTAGCAAATCGTGATTTTTTTTCTATGCATTCCTTGCTCATGGCCTTTGTCCAGTTTTCTTTTGGATTGTTTATCTTTTTCTTGTTGACTTGTAAAAGCTCTTTGTAGCTTAGGGATACAAACCCTTTGTTTTATCTGTTGCTAATATTTCCCCCAGCTTGTCCTTTGTGTTTTGACTCTGCAGATAGAGCTTTTGTTATCCAGAACTTTTCAAATTTTATGTAGTTAAATGCATCAGGCTTTCCTGAAATTCTGCTCAGAAAAGTCCTTCCCACTTTAAAATTTGAAGGAAAAAAAAAAAAGTCACCCCCATTTTCTTTCATGTTTTCTATAAATATCTGGAATTTACTTTATTGTACTATAGATGAGAGGCAGGGATGACTTGTTTGTCTTTTTAAAATAACRGATTGCTGATTAGGATGCAAGAACTTTGTGAGGTTCCAGAACCTCTGTAGCTTTCCCCTGGTCTGAGTTTTGCTAACATCTTGTTTTCAGGMAGTGATTAGAGGGATTAGAAGGAAAGACAGTCCAATGAAAGAAAGGGATCGAGAAAAGGAAAGAAGGAAAGCTGGTGCTTGTCTTCAAGTTCAAGGACAGCCAGGAAATGGGGACCCAGTGAGAGTGGGATGCAATCTTCAGGTGATGTTGGGAAGAGGGGTGGGGTACCTGAGCAGATGCAGGCTGATCTCAGCAACAGAGGAAAAAAGGAGGGCCAAGGGAGTTACCCTTCTCTCTGGAAGGATCCAAAGAGCAAGAGAGAAAGAACCTAGCAGCAGCACTCACCCCAAACTCAGTGCCAGAGGTTCTGTACTTCTATAGCTTATTTGCTGATATCTCAACCTAGCAAGGGGGCTTATTCGCCTGTGTTGCTTCCACAAGTATTTTGAGTCCAAGAAAAGTACGTACTTTGAATCCAAGARAAGATCTCATATCCTGGTCAAGCAATAATGGAAGTTGGTGATAGTAACTCTGAGACAGAATGACCCTGGGTGGAGTCTGCTTGTGCTATGGGAGGCAGGAAGTCATTGTTCTAGAGAGATTTTATTCAGATGTGGCATTCAAAATTTTAGTTTTCAAATTGGAGTAATTCCTGACTCCCAAGTGATAAATGAAAATGGATCTTATTAGAAGTTATGCTCTCCCCACCAGACCTTCCCTAAGAGGARCTTGTCTGGCTGGGCCACCTGTCTGGTTCTGGGGAAGTCCAGGGCACT